TAATAAACATTTATTAAGTGCCTACTACATGCCAGGCACTGTGTTAAGTGCTAGAGGGGAGGTTTTGGGTCAGGGCTGGGGAACCTGGCCTCAAGGCCACATATGACCTTCCAGGTCCTTGAGTGGGGCCTTTTGATGGAGTCCAAGTTTTACAGAACAAATCCTTTTATTAAGGGGATTTGTTCTGTGAGGTTTGGATTCAGTCAAAGGGCCACACTTGAGGACCTAGAGGGCCACATGTAGCCTTGAGGCCGCAGGTTCCCAACCCCTGGTTTGGGTAGATGAGAACTAAGATAAGGTTGGAAAAAGAAGTAGGGACTGGATTGTGGAGCTGCATCAGCTGTTGGTGACCCATCCCCAACTTATTGCACTTCGTACTTATTTGTACATATTTTGTATATTTATATGTGTACATTTTATTTATCTAATAGAATGTAAGCTCCTTGAGGGCAGGACTTTTTTTTTTATCCCTACTACCTAGGACAGTGCTTGCCGTATTGGAAGGTCTTAATAGATGCGTATTGATTGATTGGAGCACATCTCTTGGTCCACTCTGCACAATGATACTCAATGATCCAATAATCAATAGCATGAATTTGCAAAAATACCTTCACATCCATGATCTTATTTGAAACTCAGAACTGCCCTGTGAAGTAGGAAGAACAGGGATGATTCTCCTGATCTGTAAAAACAGAGGCTTAAAGAGTCAGAGCAAGAGAGTGTGAATGACTCCCCTGTTAGGGGGGCTGTTGAGGATATTCCTGTATGAACACAACTCAAAATAATGGCATAGGAAAGACTGAGACCTCAGACTCCTGACTCCCAGCAAGAGTACACAACACCCAGTAGTGGGTGCAATCTGTCCACTTGTGTAGCCAGCCAACCAAATAACCATGGCCCCCACACTGAAGGTTCAAGGAGATTCAGTTTGCACCCTTTTTTAAAAAAAGTCTTTTTTTTTTTTTGCACACTCTGCAGAAAAATACCCAACACAGGCCACATGCACTTAGGAATGCAGTTTCTCAAACCCCCTTCCTTCTCATTCCACTTTCTGCTGGTGGGACCAGCCAAGGCCCTGTGGCTCAAGGAATCACAAATGCCTTTAGCAGCTCTGTGCACCCTTCCCCCTAAGTAAAATCCCAGTGTCGAGGAGCAAGACAGTATATGAAGTAGATGGGGAGCTATAAAGACATTTTAAAAGGGGCAATAAAAGTTTTGGGTTTCAGATCGTCTTACTGAAGAGGAGAATAACAGAGACAGGAAATTTCAGTAGCAGACACGACAAAGGTCACAGTGCTCAGACTACACCTTAGACAAAAACACCATCTTAATGAAAGCAGAGAGGACTTGCTGGCCTGGGCTCAAGTGCGCTCCCATGCCAGCCTCCCACCAGCACCAGGAGGTTACAATAGACTGTTTTGTCTACGTTGCTGTAAATGTTTATAAGGCTTCCCTGCATTTGTACTGCCGGAGGTAAGCCTCGCCCTCCTCCAGAGCTCAGCTTCCACTCCCCCTCCTAGCAGGAGGGTTGCGTCATGGGGGAGCAGGGTAGAGAGAAGGGAGGGGGGGAGAAGGGGGACCGAGGAAGGGGCAGCTGAGGGTGGGCAGAAGCAGAGCTCACGTACGCAGGGCATCCGAGTGTGGCACAACTGCTTAGTGGATGTTGGGAAGGGCAGTTTCCCTAAGCCATCCCTAGAAAATATTCAGAAGTCAGAAGGGGTGGGGTGGGGGTGGGGTGAAGCTGTTGCTAGGCTTGCTGCCCAGGGAGGGGGAGTCTGTAGTGGTAGGGGCAGAGGGTTGGGGAGTGGGGTGAGGGAGGGAGGGAGGACAGTGGAAGGAGTACTGGACATTGAGTTGAGGGACTTGAATTTGAATCCCTGCTCCTTCCCTCATCTCTTGTGTGACATTGGGCGAGGCTTTTGGGGGCCTCAGTTATCGGGTATGCAAAATGTAGAGATGGGCTCCATGCCTTTGAATGATTCTCTGAGTCCAAGATCCTATGATTTTGAAAGGGTGTTGAAGGACTTGGCCAGGGCAGGTCCAGGGAGGGGGAGATTTCAGATAAAGTAGATTGTAAATGAACAGGGTAAGGGGCTTCTTTTTTCTAATCTCCCCCAGCCGCTAGGTCAGTAGCATGCAGTAGGTTGTGCTCCTACTTGGTCATCAAGTCAGTGCTTCTAGGCTTAACTGCCCAAGAGTTCTCAAGAAGTTCTCCAGGGAGTTCTACCCTGAGCTAGGAGCCACTGTGATGGGCTGCCCTGTGCTGGTCCACATGGAGGAGGAGCTAGGAACTCAGGGTCCACGACTGTGTGGCCTTGGGTGACTTATGGCCACTCTCTGAGCCTCAGTCTCCTCATCTGTGAAATGGTCAAAATAATACTTGTGATACCCTTCTCATGGAATTGTTACTAGGAGAATGTTTTGCAGACCTTAAAGTACTACATAAATGTGATTTATTATTATCGGGTCACAGATTTAGAGCTGGAAGAAATCACAGAGGTCATCTAGTCCAATTCCTTTATTTTCCGGATGAGGAAACTGAGACCCAGAGAAGTGAGGTGACTTACCCCAGGTCACATAGATTGGACTGGGGAGTCAGGAATTATTCTTTCCCATCTTCTTTTCTATCTTCCATCTTCCAACTCCATCTTTTCTGATGGAGTTATTTTTTTCAATTGGACTGGTGATTTTGTCTGTCTAGGAGCTCCCCATAAGGAACTTTTATCAGATGATTTCACTCTCAATACAGATATGTACCTTCTCCAGTCTTAGTATGTTGCCTGGGGCACTCAGAGATTAAGTGACTTGCCCTGGGTCACACAGCCAGGATAGGTCAGAAGTGGGACTTGAACCCGGGTCTTCTTGGCTCTGAGGCCCCTCTCTATTCACCATGCTATACCATCATTTTGTGAAATAGAACTAATTGTATCTTCCCTATGGAGCTCCCACAGGGTTTTGACACAATGTCTATGGAGGCACTTGGTGAAAGCCCAAACTTTTGGACAAAGGGGAAGGAAGGGCTGTTATTCCTGTGAAGGGCTTTGGAGAGCCTGACTGAAAGAGAACTAGGTGGAGGAACCCAGGTCTCAATGGACACCAGTGTAGATCAGCGCTGCCCTAATTGTCCGTGACATATAGACCTGGCGCTTCTCCCAGGCAGTCTTCATAAATCAGTTGCTCTGGCTATAGTAAATAGTCTGTTAATGTGGGATGTTATGAGCTTTGCAGACCTCTCCGCCTCCCTCCTCAGGAGCGTCCTTCTTTGCCTCTGATTTTCCATGAGCTGCCAGGGAGCTGGGAGGCCTGGGAGAGAGCTAGCTGGAGACAAAGTGCTCAGTGTTCCAGCCAAACCAGGAGGAGGCAGGGGGGATGAAAGGGGGTGGAAGGTGTGGGGGTCGGTCGGCCCTAGGAGATGTTGTCACCTGCCTGAAGTCTCCTCCTGGTTTCATTGCCCCCACCCCACCTCCATGGTCTGTCCTTCCTCTTACAGCTCCTGGGGAAACCTACCTGTCCCTGGAAATATAATCTGTCCCAATCGCATTTCTGCCTCAGGGCATGTGTGAACGGCTCAGTTGTTCTGATATGCCTCTGTGTCTTTTGCCTCCCACACTAGACTATAAGGTCCTGGAGGGCAGGGATGGTACCTTTTTAAAAAAATTTTTATTTTGAGGGAATTGGGGTTAAGTGACTTGCCCAGGGTCACACAGCTCATAAGTGTCAAGTGTCTGGTCTGAGGCTGCATTTGAACTCAGGTCCTCCTGACTTCAGGGCCAGTGCTCTACCCACCACGCCACCTAGCTGCCCCTCAGGGATGGTATCTTATGAGATCATAGGAGCAGAGACTTAAGAGTTGGAAGGGACTTGAGAGGCCATGTAGTCCAACCTCCTCATTTTACAGATGAGGAAACTGAGGCCCAGAGAGCTTATGCAATTGTGTAAGGTCACAGAGGGAATAAGACCTGGGATTCCTAACCAGGTCTTCCGACTCCCCTGTGACCTCGTGATCACTTGACCTCTCTGGGACTCAGTTTCCTCATCTGTAAAATGAGGAAGTTGGCTTGGATGGTCTCTAAGGTCTCTTCTAACTCTAGGACAAGGACTCCAAATCCAGGGATTTCCAATACGAGATGCCTTTAGCCTCTTTCCTGCCCTGAAACCCCACCTTCTGGTCATCACTAATCCCAGGACAGTCCCCTCCCAAGAAGTCCTCCTAGTGTTCCTGGATCTTGAATATTTTCTTGGCCTGGAGGTCAGAGGTTGTTACTGCCTGCAGAGATTCCTGAACATCAGATCTTCACACAACCCCATGAAATAGGTGCTGTTATTATCCCCATTTTATAGATGAAGAAACTGAGACAGTGGTTAAGTGACTTGCCCAGAGTCACATAGCTAGAAAGGATCTGAGGCATGATTTGAACTCAGGCCTTCCTGACTCCAAATATTCTATCTACTGTTCTACCAGTTGTCTCCATAAAGCAGCTGTGGGCCCTGAAAATAAAGCTAATTACTTGTTTATCTTTTTATTCTTTTCACATCATGCCCTGAAGTCACTATGAAGTATACAAGAGAGTACTCCCTGCTGGTGGTCACTACAGTAAGCCAGGGAATACGGTCTTTCTGTGGCCTATGAAGGATCTCTGTATCCCAGTACCCAAGGGTGCTGGGTTCTAAAAAAGGCTCCCATTTCTAGAAGATTGTTGTTGCTGCTGTTGTTTTAGAGGCTTAAGTGACTTGCCCAGGGTCACATAGCTGGTAAGTGTCTGAGGCCAGATTCGTACTCAGGTCCTCCTGACTCCAGGGCTGCTTCTCTATTTACTGCCCCACCTAATTGCCCCAATTCTAGAAGCTTTCAACATATAATAGGCTTGGGATGAATTAATGTTAAGTAAGGTAAATTATCTATTGACTCAAAAAGGATTTTACATCTAGTTCTGATCTGTCTGGGAACAGGTAGAGGAAGTAAGAATACAGGAAGAATAAAAAAAAAAAGAAACACAGGGTAAGTTCTGGAATTTGCATTTTTTTTTCTACCTCTACCAGCACTTTTACTTGCTAGGTAATTGTCTTTATTTTTCCTTAACCTGGAGGCTGTGATAGATAAACTTGAGATGGCCCATGTGCTCTCTGTAATGTCTTCTGCTACACACTTGGGATGTGGCTGTTAGGTAAAGATTGGAGAGAGAGTGATAAAGGGGTGTCTGTGTGTGTGTGTGTGTGTGTGAATGTATGTGTCTATAAGTGAGCACAAGGGCATGTGGGGAAGTCAACCAGATAGAGGGGGCTCTGAATATACTCCTCCTCCTTACCTTGTAAAGGACAGGACCCAGGAAGATAAGAAGGGTTTAGGATGGTCAATGAAAAGGACCAAAGGAGTGGAAATGAGGTTTGGATGAGTCTGAACTGAGTTGAAGCCTCCTAGGGCTGGAAAGATGGAGACTGAAGACAGAGGTGGTTGCCGTCTATAAACTTGGGAAGGGCTGGAAGAGGGAGGACATTGACAATCACCAGTTCCTAGTCCTACTGCCTTAAGAGACATATGCTGAAGACCAGAACACAGGCTGTCCTGGGGGAGGAGACAGTTTCTCAGGAGAGGGGATAGGCTTTACAAATTTTAAAATGAGGTTTCAAAAGGGTTAGATTAGACAAATATTCATATAACAGAGTCCTGGGGGCAGCTGGGGGCAGGAGAGGGTTTGGAAATGTCTCCAAGCCTGGAAGGATTATGTCAGGGAGAGAGGTGATAGCTTTTCCAAACCACCTATGGTAGGATCCTGGGCTAGTGGGATTGTTTGTGGAGTTGGGAAGAGGGGGAATGCTATTAAACTGATGTTTTGTAATGCAGAAGGAGTTGTTCTGATATGGAGCCATGCTTGCTACAAAGAGGTAAGGGGGTGCCTGACTGTGCTGCCCCCAGTTATTCCAAGAGAGAGAATTATTTGGAAAGACTCAGAGAGTTTTCAGCACTCACTGCCCATCCATTAGAGAGCTATGGGGAAAGATCTGGGCATGGGCAAAGGGAACAAGGACTGTAGCTTCCAAATGAGTTGGACCCCAGGAGGGTGCCCTTGGTGCCCAGACACTTTCGTCATTAAACCACCCACCTTAGTGGATCTGGGAAAGGGATACTTGTCAACCCTAGGCTGGACACTAGGTATGGTGAGTTGGCATTGGGCTCCTGCAATTTTGGGAAAGAGCCTATGGCCTCCAACAGAGTTAGAGTGAAATAAATAAAATCATTTTGCTCCTACATCAATTCAGTCTGGAATTTCTCTCCTAGAAGCAGGGAACTCAGAGCTCATGGAACTCAGCTGGAGGAAGGGACAGGGGCCAAGGGGTGGGGTTTGGGGTCAGGAGGTAGCCGCTGAAATTAACCAACCTGGTATTGCAACAGTGGCACTACCTATTTGACTGCCCCTTCCCTTCCCAAAGGGCTCATTCAGAGACCATGGGTGCAGAAATAGAAATCTCACCAGGACCCATGGGAAAAGAGATGTCTAAATAGGAGAGATTGCCATTGACTTTGAAAAGGGAAAGGATTGTAACCAAGGATAGTTGGTAGACTCTTTTTTGACAGGAGAAGTCTTGTCTGCCTAGGATAATTTGAGTACAGTCCTGCACAGAGGCTGAGGGCTTTGATTGGCTCTGGAAAGCCAATTCTTGGCTACTATGATTTTTAAAGATGAAAGCCGTGGAAGGAAAGGGGGAAAAGCAACAGCTCTTCCCCATGGTGCCTACAACAATGCTAGGCCTACATTGAGATCTTAAATACTTGTCTGCTCAACTTGACCTGAGAGAAGAAAAGAGTAAGGGAGACAGGGAATCAGGTTCATATCTCTATAGGGGTACGTAGTCAAATGGAGGTCCGGGAAGGGTGGGAGGAAAGGCACAGTCAGATGCAAGCACAGCAGAGCGTAGAGCAGTCCAGTTTGGCAGGAGTCCCAGCATTCCCAGCTTTCTTGTTCACCTTGGGCAGCAGCAAGACAAAGGACATGGCTAGTGAACAGTGGTAGAAGCTGTGAACATAGGTGTGATCCCACTCCTTTGCAGACCCAGAGAGAAAGAAAGAAGAAAAGAGGGAAAGAGAGTCAGTTGCCTAAGCCTTAGAAAGCTCAACCTGGCATTTAAAGAATTCCTTAATCTGTCCCTATTTTTCCCATCTAGCCATCTTTTACCATTCATAATTTCCCACCTCCACACTTTTGCTCATGCACTGATGCTGCTTGGAACACTCTTTCTCACAGCCATCTTTCACTCTCTTCCTGAGTTACAACTTCCCCTATATGATGACTTCACATTCTTAGCTCTGTATACTCTCTGTGTGACCTCTACCATTCTGGGATTTAGTTTTTTGTCTTATAAAATATGGGCAACTAGGTGGCATTGTGGATAGAGTGCTGGGGCTAGAGTCAGGAAGACGCCTCTTCCTGAGTTCAAATCCATCTTCAGACACTTACCAGCTGTGTGATCCTGAGCGAGTCACCTAACCCTGTTTGCTTCAGTTCCTCACATGTAAAATGAGCAAATCACTCTAATATCTCTGCTAAGAAAATCCCAAATGGGGTCATGAGTAGTCGGACAGGACTGAACAACAATCTGTAAAATGAAGGAATTGCCTAAATGACCTATTAATTACCTTCCAGTTCTAAATCTATGATCTACTGATATTAAGATAACCCCCTCATCCTTCTGACGTATCCCTTTTACAAAAATTTTATTATTCCAGTTGACAGTGATCCCCTCTTCTCTAAGTCCTATGGCATTAATCATACTCACTGTCTACATACTGAGCATTAATCACCCAGTGCCTTATGACATTACAAGTATTTCTTTTATGTACTATTGAATGTCATATGTAACAACTCACTTGCTATTAATAACCAATGATGATTAATTGCTATTAATTGTCATTCATCTTTTATATCAAATGAAGCATAAAACAGAGCAGTGTAGGCTTGTCAGAAGTGTTGGCCACAGTCATGGAAGAGATGTAATACAAGGTCTGAGTCAGAAGAGGTTCCTTAGAGATGAAGGTCTTCCAGGTGACTCTGTATGCAAATGACAACATGCTTATTGCATCAAGCCCTGAAACATTACAGAGTCTTCTGGAAGAGGTCCATAACCACTCAAAAGAGTTTGGCCTAACTATCTTCATAAGAAAAACCAAATGAATGAACAATGTTTATTGTGCAGACTATGTGCCTTGGACAGACACTTCCAATGGAGAATGAACTGGGCCCAAATGGTCTTTGAGAAATTACAAAATACTTTTGGTGACTCCAGGTTTCTCCTTGAAATGAGTGCCCATGTTACTGTAGTAAGTCATGGAACACTTCAGTCTTTGAAGAGCTGAAACTGAGGATCAACCAAAGAGTGTCAGAGAGGCACGTGGTGAGTGTGAACAGGCTGGGATACAATACAAACAAGGAATTATGCAGGACAAGTGGTGAAAAAAGATGTCATAGAAAAAAATGTGTGATTGAAAAGCAAGATGAGTTGGTGGGGTATGACTGATGGATAAGCCATGTGTTCTGCTTGTAAGGTCAGGCGGGAGACCTTGAGAAAGGCATCCAGCATGTTGGTTGGACTTTTGGTTAGGATATGAACTTGAGTTGCACAAGATGAGTGACCACAAACAGGATGAGCCTGGTGTCATTGGAAGGAGTGCTCACATTAGGGGATCACAACCTGTTCGTACAGAGAACTTTCATCACCTCTCCTACAGTAGTAACTTGAGGGCCTAGGTAGGCACTGAAAGTGTTCTTAATCCCCATTTTATGGATGTGGAAAGTGAAGATCAGAGAAGTCTGTTTTAACATCCCCCCCCATACTTTATATCTATATTTGTGTATCGTGGATAAGCTGGGGAGATAGATGGACAATGAGTTGGGCTCACAACTGTGTAGAAGGTGAGGACAGAGGGTTGGATCAGCTTTGGAAGATTGTCCAGCACGTTCACCGTTCCCTGCTGCAGAAGCCTGTTTCTTGAACCCCAATATCCTCCCCATGATGCGAAGGGGCTGCAAAACATTGTGATCTTAGAAGTGTTCAAACTATGGATCCCTCTAAGAGCAATGGAATGGTGGATGCTGGGTTTAAGTGCCTGCATCTTGTTACTAACATTTTAAGGTGTTAGTAGTTTAAAACTGCACTAAGATTTTGGGGAGAGCTTGAATTAAAAAAAGCAGAGCATGGTTGGATCATAAGCAGATCCAGAGCTGGAAGAGACCTTAGGAGTCTAGTCCAACCCCTTCATTTGACAGAAGAGGAAACTGAGCCCTAGAATGGGTGAAGTGACCCAAATCACACAGGTAGTAAGGGGGCAGAGCAAGGAATAAAACGAAGGTGGCTTCTGTTGAAGTAAGTGGACCTTCTATGGTGGAATTATGGAAAGCCATGGACCAAAATCCCATTGGATGAGAAGGCTCGGATGGGTTTGGAATCTCTGCCACTGGAGGAAATATTCACCCCAGTGAAATTTCAGATCCATCTACATATATTAGACTTAGCCTTCTGAAGTGAAGAGTCTGGAAGAGGACTTGGAGAAAGTCCATAGAAGGTAAATGACTTTCCCAAGTCACACAGGGGCTACTTAGCAGCATAGTCTGACTAGGACCCAAAACTTGTGACTCTCAGGCTAATGCTCTTTTGCTGACACTGATATCTTGTCCCCCCAGGATTAAGAGTTCCCCGAGGACAGGGGCTGTGGCTGTCACCTCTCTGTATTCCTCCCATGGAACCTTGCACAGAGGGGCCTTACCTCAAAAAAGAAACGCAGCATCAGTGCTAATGCTCCAAAACAGAAACCAGGGCCTATCTGTTGGGTGTATACACTCTTGTCCGGGTACAGACCCTTCTTCTCTTTCATCTTTTGCAGCTGGAGAGGAAATACAGAAGTCAGTGAAGAAGCTCTGGGTGGCCTGACTCAAAACTCATCCATTCTGGGTCGCCTGGAATAAAGAGGGTCCCTTTGCCAGACTCAACAAATAACCACCTCGATGTGCCCCAAGGGGACAGCAGCCATCAGTTAAATAATAAACAAGCCACTAGGTGAAAGAACAGACTTCTTTCAACTCTCTGACTCAGATCTTTTCACTCCTTTGTTCTGTGTCCCTCCTATATTCAGATTAGGTAATAATAATTCACATTTATATAACATTTTGCAATTTGCAAAGTGCTTTCTCCACAATTATCCTGTGAGGTAGGTAGCACATGTGTTATTATCCCCATTTTACAGATGAGCAAACTGAGGCCCAAAAAAGCTAAGGGACTTGCCCAAAGTCACGCAGGTACTAAGTTTTATAGCTGGGATTCAAACCCAGGTCTCCTGACTCCAGAGTCTGGTGTTTTTTACATCTAATCTCTATTGTTTGTTAATTTCTATGGCACTTTAAGGTTTCCAGAGCTCTTTCTTTCCAAGGGAGATAGAACAAACCTTATTGTCCCTATTTAATAGATGAGGAAAATGCATCTCAGAGAAATGATGTGGCTTGCCCAGCGTCACTCAGTTAATGTGTCTGTTCTTCCTTGCCGATACACTAACATTAGTGTGAACTCCAGTTTGTCCAGCTTTCAGGTGCCCTGAGGACAGTGGACAGAGTTCTCATTTGCTTTACATCTCCTCACCACATCTAAGGATAGGAGCTGCACACCGTGGAGACAAGTCTTTCCTTAGAAATTTGTGCCTGGGCCAGGTGGGCAGGGAACTAGTTGCTTGTTTGTAAATATGGGGCCCGGGAGAGATGGAGGCAAGTGGAATAATACTTCCTTATCTGTCCAAGTCAGGAAAACCCGGGTTCTGTCTGAATTTCCATTAAAAAAACCCTAGCCAACACAACAGCTTTTGTCTTTTTCTGAGGAAGTGAGGCATAGTGGTTCGGGTCAATGGACTTGGTGTTTAAATGGATTCCAGTCTGAATCTTACTTCAGATTTACTAGCTGTTTGATCTGGGCAGAGGGTCTTTCTGGGCCTCACTTTTCCCACCTGTAAAAAGAGGATAATAAAAGTCCCTAGCTCACATGGTTGTTTCCAGGATTAATAATAATGATAATTAACATTTTGTACAGAGCTTACTACGTGCCAGACACTGTGCTAAGTGCTTAACAATTGTTATCTCATTTGAGCTTCACAACAGCCTTGGCATGTAGGTGCTATTGTTATCCCCATTTTATGGATGAGACAACGGAGGCAAACAGGTGTTAAGTGACTTTCCCAGGATCACACAGCTAGTAAGTGTCTGAAATCATATTTGAACTCAGGTTTAAAAGGATTAAAACTCAGGATTAGAAGGAGGTAACATACTCATACTTTGCAAACCTTCAAGTGCTATATGAATGTTAGCCAGTATTTTTATCATCATCATCATCATCATCATCATCATCATCATCATCATCGGGTATGGGATAAAGTATGTAAAGTGCTAGGCAGCCCTTAAATCACCATATAAATATGAGAACTATTTTAGTGCTATGTAAATGTGTGAAGTAAGCCTTTTCCATTTGGATCTACAAAGATCTACCCCAAAGACAACAAAGAAGAAGCTGACCTCCTGACAGCCTCCTGGGAGGCAGCCTTCTACTCCATGAGGCAATAGGTCAGAAGCCAATTTGGAATCATCCAATGAAATGATTGTAAAGTCACAATCACAGAAATCTAAAATCCTGGTCACAGAATTTTGGAACCCTGGAACTCTAGCATCCTAGGACAGGAAAGAAACTTCCAGAATTGTCAGGTTTAGGCTCTTGCCTTCAGACAGTTGACTGTCTTAACCACTAGGGTAGTTCTGGTCCCAGAGGTGGAGCAGAGTTACTGTCTTCAAGCACTTGGAGAGCCACTCCTTGGAAAAGGGATTAGGCTGGCTCAGATCGGCTTCAGAAGGGCAGGACTGGAGGAGCAGTGGGTGGAAACAGAGACACAAGCTTTGACTCCATCTAAGGAAAAGCTTCCTAACAATCAAAACTGTCCAAAAGTGGGCTGTCTGGGCTGATAGGGAGTTCCTTGTCACTGGAGGACTTCAGGCTGGGGCTAGATCACTATTCGTGTAAGAAAGATATATTGGAGTAGGGATTCTTGTTCTGATACACTTTTGGCTAGACAACTTCTGGAGTCCCTTCCAAGCCAGAGATTTTGTGATTCTTTGGTTTATCTGAATGTTTTCTATCTAGTGACTGGGACTCCATAGCTTCCCTTGGTTGCTTGCTGCAATGCTTTTTCTCTTTATGTTAAGACACTGGTTTGGACAGCATAGAATAGTCTTACCAGAATATTCTTTCAATTTTTTCCATGGCCTTAGAGACAAGCAGAAGAGCTTCACTTAAAACTCACCAGTCTCAATTTACACCTTCCTTTCCATCTAATATAAGTTTTCCTCACCCAGCCCCCCCTTTTTGGGAGGCAATGGGGTGAAGTGACTTGCCCAGGGTCACACAGCTAGTAAGTGTCTGAGGCTGGATTTCAGTTCAGGTCTGCTGACTCCATGGCAGGTGCTCTATCCACTGCACCACTAGCTGCCCTCTCCCTTTGTTTTTAATAGGCCAATATATCAAATAATCAGTGACACAACCATTCCCCAATATTTTTCTTTATGTGAACTAAGTTCTATGATTCTACATAATGTATATCCTTTTTTGTTCTTCTATAATGACCTACTTAAAAGTTCTATTTAATGTAATAGATGATATAAAGTGTCTCATGCTTGGAGTATACTTCCTTCTCAATCCTGCCTCTTCAGGAACTTTCTCTCCTTTCACGGTCCCTCTCAGGGGGTATCTTCTCCATGAAACTCTTCCCTGGCCTTTACTGTATTCCATCCCCTCAATGCCCCAGTAGCTGTAAGTTCCTTAAGGGCAGATGTTTCATTTTCATCCTTGTATCCCTAGTTTCTGGCCCAGTGTCTTTGTACATAGTAAATACTTAATGAATGCTGGTTGAACAAAAGCCACCCACAAAATCTTGTCTAACTGAATTGAGCAAAGGGATTGGTTTGTGCATTGCCTCCTCTTTTCATCCCTGCCCGTCCTCCAATAGATAGATGAGTGAGAAGTGAGATGGATTGAAGATGGACGGATCAAATCTCACCTCCTCTGGGAGGGACAGGGAAGGGTCAATGACAACTCCAAGATTACAACAAACATGTACTTACCTATCAACCTACCAGCCTACCAGTGGTAGGCTAGGTGAAACAGATAGGTCATGAATGGGATGAAACAGATAAAGCACAGTGAAACAAACACTGGTGAAATAAAGAACGGGCTTACTGAGAGCTCTAGGACATGGTCCAGTGGGGAGAGCATCAGACCACCCACGTAAACTGGGGTAAGTGATTATGCCCTCTTGGGCATCTGTCTCCTCATCTGTAAGATAAAGGGGTTTATTTGACCTCTAAGGCCCTGTACTTCCCATAGATCTATGATCCTATGAATTCCTGGGCTCGATGAGACCCTCCAGTTGCTTTCTTTATTCTTAGGCTCAGTTTCCCTAGGTGGTGTCCACACCTCCGGTTGTCTCTTCACCCTCTGACAGGGGGAGAAAGGGAAGCAGAAAACCTTTTACTTGCAATGGACCTTAGAGTTAACAATAACATCAGATATTTATACAGCATTTTAAGGTTTACAAAACATTTTATGTACACGATTTCATTTGATTTTCAAAATAACCCTTCAAAACAAGTGATGTTATTATCATCCCCATTTTACAGATGAAGTAACTTAGGCTGCGAAAGGTTGTATTTCAGTTCACTAGTTATTAAGTATCTGGGGCAAGATTTAAACCCAGGCTCTTCTAAATCTAAATCCAGTCCACTTTCTATTACTCCATGCTGTCCCTCAGTAATTGCCACCGAACCTATACCTGTGGTGCTTGCTGGTCCCAAGCCTCTAGCAACTGGGGGAATGGCCTTTAGAGAACAGTTAAGCCCTGAGGGTCTGGTGCCCTTTCTCTAGAAACCAACTCCCCCTCTGAGATTGAATTCCTTCCTAAATGGGCCAGAAGGTGCTATTTAAATTAGGAATGTGGCCAATTTGCTTTGGCCTTCCCCCCAAGGGGAACAGCTAGGTGGCATAGTGGATAGAGCACTGGGTCTGGGACTGGAGTCAGGAAGAGTTCACTAGCCTGACACTTAGCAGCTGTGTGACCTCGGGCATCTCTCAGTTTCTTAAGTAGTGAAATGGGGATAAATGCACCTACCTCACAAGATTGCTGTGATGATCCAATGATATGTTTTTAAAGCACTTAGCATAGTGCCTGGCACATGGTAGGCATTTAACGAATGCTTCTTCCTTTCTTTCCCTCCCTGCCCCCCTTTATTGCTATTGCTGAGTCCACTTGACCAGGGAGAAGAAAGTCTGTGTGGTATTCCACTCAGGCTTTAATGAGTAGATACCGTTCTACCTAATTATAATTCAGAAGCGGATTCATACCAAACTTCTCTGAGTATAATTACTCAATGTCTAGTTGGGGGAGTGAGGAGGGAAATCCACCAGGACTGAATCAGGAGAGAATTATCCCATTTCCGGCTTGGGGTGAGCTGTTTTTATCGTAAACAGAGACTTGGAATTCAGTGATTATCTCTGGAAGCCAGCATTGTTTATGCATTCCAGAATGTTAATTAATAAGGCATGCTATTGCATCACCCCAACAAGTCTCTCCTCCCCAAGGCAGGAAATTTAGAGGCACTGCCTTGGGTCACCCCAAGTAACATCAATTCAAATTGCTAAACTAGATCAAGAAAGAATAACCTCTTCCCCAACCCTCCTCCTTTGGAAGAGCATTCAAAAGAGTCAAGATATTTGAATTCAAGGTCTGGCTTTGCCACAATATAGATGTGTGATTTTCTTCAAGTAGCTTCATCTCTCTGTGCCTCATTGTCCAAATAGGGAAAAGAAATCCTGATCCCTTTTACTGTGCGGTCTATGAAGATAAAGCAGATGAATGTATTTTTGAAAACCCACTACCTACACTTCATCCCCCTACCTCAGATCCTTGACTTGAGCCATCTCTGGTGTTCACAGCCCAGCCTTATGACTTACTCTACCCTGGCCCTCCTCTCAACACCCCGAGCGCAAGCTTCTCCTCTTCCAGAAAGCCTTCAATATGAACTCATTCTTCAAGATACTGCCACACTTCTGAGTCAGGGACTAAGGTGGGCAGTGGATGCAGAAATAGCAATGAAATCATTGGACTTAGAGAGAAGTTGTAACTACAATACCAGACACAGCTATAGCCAGCGTCAGTCAGGAAAAAAAAGTTAGAATCAGCATTGAAAGCCAGAGCCACAGGTCAAAGGAATCTTAGGACATTGCTGCTGAAAGGCACCTTGGAATGAATGTAGAAAGTCAGAGTTGGAAAGGACCTTAGAACACTCAATATCAGAGCTGGAAAGGACTTTGAAACACAGAATGTCAGAGTTGGAAGAGACCTTGGAACACAGGATGTCAGAGCTGGAAGAGATTTTAGACCACAGAACGTCAGAGTTGGAAGGGAGCTTAGATACTTTCAACTCCCATTTCAGAAAAGAGGAAACTGAGGGCCTGAGGTTAAGAGACTCCCCAAAGTCAGACTGCTAATGAGTAATAGAGTCCAGACTGTAATAGGCCAAGGTTTCTTCCATAGTTACCTCTCAGGAAGACCCAGTTACTAGGACTTTTCAGAACAAGGAGGCAACTAGAAAAGCTGAGATAAAGCTGGCCAGAATCTCAGTTCTTCCCTGTCTGGTAAAGAAACTCAGCCAATCACCTGGGAGACCCAGATGTAGGTCATCACATTGCTTTGTCCTTAACAGGTGAGGGCCCACAACTGGCCTCCAAAGCCTGACACTTTCCCAATTAGCTACTCCCTCTGTCAGTATTTCAAGATGCCTAGAGTGATGGAAGAAACATAGACTCAATTACACAAAATGTCAGAATGGGAAGGAACCTCAGAAATCATCTATTCCAACCCCCTCATTTTGTAGGTGGGGAAACTGAAGTCATGAGAAGAGTGGGCTCAAGGTCACAGAACTAGACAAATATAGTTGTAATAATAATAGCTAGCATTTTTATGTAGCACTTTAAGGTATGCAAGGTGTTTTGCAAGTATTATCTTATCTTATCATTTTTGATCACTCACCCACTTTGCTGTAATGATGAGGACAGCTGTGCCAATAGGCCCCGAATACACCCCATAGCCCCATCGGTCTTGGTAGATCCTTACGGCAATGGTCAACACTCCAAACATCACAAAGGTTGACCTTTTTGGTTCATCAAATTCTGCCAGTGCTGGAAAGGGAGGGAAGGGCACAGAAATCAGAGATTAGAGTTCACTTGGACTCAAAGGAGACTTCTAATTTCATTATCGTTATCTTGAGAAGGCATTTCTTTGAGGAATCAGAATGTCAGCTGGAAGGAACCTTAGAACATAGAAAGTTAGAGTTGGGAGGGATCTTAGAACATATTATGTTATAATTAGAAGGGACCTTAGGACATAAAATATCAGAACTGGAAGAGATTTTGGAACATGGAAGGTGAGAGCTAGAAAAGACCTTGAAACACAGGATATTAGAGATGGAAAGAACTTTAGAATATAGAAGATTGGAACTAGAAGGGACCTTAGGACATAGAAGATCAGATCTGGAAGGGACCTTAGACTATGGAATCTCAGAGCTGGAAGGGACCTTATAATATAGTATCAAAGATGTAGAGGTGGACAGGACCTTGAAACACAGAATGTTAGAGCTAGAAGGACCTTTAGACATGCTTTTTCTATTAATCTATCTATTGTATATGTTTGTGTATATGTATATGTATATGTATATGTATATGTATATGTATATGTATATGTATATGTATATGTATATGTATATGTATATGTACACGTATATATGGACACATATACATGCACACAACCATTCACACACATACACGAGAGGCGATCTACTGCAGTGAATAGTGAACTGGCCTTCTCTTGGAGTTAGGAAGACCTGAGTTCAAGCCTTGTCTCTGACATATAGTAGCTGTGTGGCTCTAAAGTGCTTTAAAATTATTTTTCTAATATGGATTAAGCATTGACTTTGCAATGGGAAGTGGGAATGGAAGGCAGGAAGGCATGCATAAAGTTGGGAAAAGAGGATGTCATGTGGCCTTCCATGCCCCCTGTAAGTTAGTAGGCTGACTTGCTCAGGAGTGGATAGGTGGGTTTGTGAACGGCTGGGATAAAGGAGGCTGGCACTCACCCATTAATGACACCCACATACTCAATGCTGTCCCATAGATGCTGAAATACTCCAGTATGTCGTAGCGCATGAAACATAGCACTGATAAGCCTGGCCCATTACACGCGTGGTATATCTAGCAGAAAACACAGAAGTGTATTATACAAAGGACTGACAGTCACTTGGGATGAATCAACTTTCCCAGAATTGGTTTAGTCCATTTTTAGGAGGCCAGTGAGCAGATGGAAGGAGTATATTTTTGGTCAGGGTTTGCCTAAAATAATAATAAATAATCCCTTATTCATTTTTCAACACTTGCTAGTTTACAAAGAGCTGTCCCACCTAACAGATTCTTAAGGTAGCCCTGCAAGGGAGGCCAGGCAGGGATCGTTCTCTCCATTTTACAGGTGAGAAAAATGAGGCAAAGAAATGAAAGAAGAAAAACAGGGATAGAGCAGGGATGGGGAGCCTGCGGCCTTGAGGTCACATGTGGCCTTCTAGGTCCTTAGTGTAAGTTTTACAGAACAAATCCTTTTATTAAGGGGATTTGTACCATGAAGTTTGGATTCAGTCAAAGGGCCTCACTTGAGGACCTAGAGGGCTACATGTGGCCTCGAGGCCTCAGGTTCCCCACACCTGAGATACAGACTAAACCTGGGTTTTCATTGATATAAGGAATTCCCAAGTATGGAAACTCCCTCTACCAGTGCAGGTTGGCACCTTTATTGCAGCCTATAATCTTAGTTGCCTAGAGTACCGGGAAGTTAAGTTACTTGGCCAGGATCACATAGTCATTAGGTATCAGGGGAAAGACGAAGAAGGAAAAGAAGAAAAGAGGAAAGGAAGGAAAAGAAAGGAAAAAAAAGCTAACATCTATTGAGCAAATCTCCTGGCAACGGAAACCTGTATTTTTTGGGGAAAAGTGAGATAGGTATGTCCATTAATGCCAAAACACTCTTGTTCAAGGAGGACAGTTGCTTCTTCTACTCTGCAGATTGAGGTGGCAGGGATAAGAAGACTTGATGCAGACCACAACAGCAGCTGTTGGGTCCGGACCCCATCCCTCCCCTTCCCCCTCAATGGCTCTGAGCCCAGGCTCTGAAAAGGAGCAGGGTGGGGAATCAGCTGTCCCCTGATTGCCTTCACCTTCAGAGGCTGTACTTTAGCTCCTGGGGTTGACTCTGAGCAGGAGGGAGCCGGCAGTTTAATGGAATGAGTCCTCACTCAGTAATCAGGAGGTCTGGATTTTAGTCCCAATTTTTCCCCTGCCATTTTGCTTCAAAGCAAAATGAGGTCCAGGACTGAATTTCTTCATCTGTCAAAAATGGGCATAAGAATTACTTGCCTTATCAACCTCCCGGGAAGTTTGTAAACAGCCAGTAGATGTGTTACAACATCATCAAAGAAAATGTAAGGGATGACAGTCATTGCTCCCTGCTTAAGAACACTCAGAGATTCTTAACCTAGGATCTATAGGATTGACGCTAAAAAATTCAATAACTGAATGCCACTGTAGTCTTTGTAAGCCCATGTATTTTATTTCATACATTTAAAAAAATTCTGAGAAGAGTTCCATAGCTCTCTCCAGCCTGTCAAAGGGGCTGATAACACAAAAAAAGGTTAAGAAATCCTGCTAAAACATTCAGGCCCAGACCCATGACTGAAATGAAGATCTGAGGGCCACTCCTAAATCCTTCGGTCTAAGGAAGAGGAACAAAAGGTTAAAGGTCAGAAATTCCAGGAGAACTTGGCCCTCAAAGGAATTGGCATAAGCAATGCCATGACCCATAAAGTAAAATTGTGTATATAGATACATTCACACATGGATTTCTTGGCATCTACCTGGATTCAGGCACATATGTGCAATGCACATATATGGGTATCAATGGGAATACAATATAGACATATACACACATGTATATGTATGTATACATGTATGCACACATATGCATGTGTGTGTGTGTCTCTGCTGGTTGAATCTGAGTGGAACCTTTCCATCTCCTAAACAAATGTCTCGTGGGGAGTTTGCTAGTTACTGAAGGACAGGTTTGATAGTAGATGAGTAAGGTAAAAGGCAGATGATTCAGAGACCTTTTACAAATCATGGGAACCGCCTCCCAGAAGGAGAAATGGAGAGACTAACAGAGAGACAGAGGGACCTAAATACACAAGAGAAAAAGAACTTTGGACAGAAGGATAAAAACAGAAAGACAACCTCAGATGGAGAAACACACACACACACACACACACACACACATACACACATACACTGAGGAAGTCTTAGACTCATAGAATATGAAAGGAGCTGAGGAATTACCTAAGCTAACCACATTTGATAGAGGGGAAGTATAAGAAGGGGAGTGATTTGCTCAAGGTCACACAATGAGTTAGTGGCAGAGCTGGTACCAGAGCTCAGCTCTTCTAATTCCCAGGCTCAGGGCTCTTTCCATTCAACCACACACTGCCTCCAAATGATATATCCTATTGCCTGCCAACCAGGTACTTTAAGGTGGGGAAAGCAATAGGAGAGAGGATTCCCATACCAATTCCATCCTTACCGCTATGAAGAACATGGTGAAGAGGTAGACCATGGCTTCCATGTGGAACCTCCTCTTGGCAGCGATGCTGATGGTGGGGAGGAAGGCGAGGCTGCTGATTGTGGGGAGAAGCAACTTGGTAACAAGGGTCCCCATAGTCCTGCACCAATGGACAATGTTCAATTCAGTCAAAACCCTCTCTTCTACCCACCAAAAATTCAGGAAAGGGAGCAAGAAGAGAAAGAGAGAGGGCAGAAGGGATAGCTGAAAGCTCTCGATCAGCTTGGTCCCTGAGAAAGCTGGGCTCACAGCTGTGACCAAAGACCACACCAAGTTTAAATGTCCATGGAGGAGGGAGCAATGTCAGTTCAGATGGCTGGCAACACATGGAGGGGTTAACAGCTGATGGGTGGCTTGATGGGGGTATTTGTTTTTTCTTTTTTGGGAGAGGCCAGAGCTGAGGTTCAGACACTGTCATCTTTCTTTCCTCCTCAGCCTTGGTGCTCACTCATTTTCCATCTTTTACCACTGTTCTTTCTTTTCTTTTTTCATTGTGGTCTATAGCTAGAATCCATTTCCCTGCTTTGTCCCAGAGATTTACAGGTTGGATCATTCACCCTTTGGGATCCCTTTTAACCTCTGAGATTCTCTGAATCTGTTTCTGTGGTCTCATCTCAATGTGGGTACGATGAGTACTAATGGATGCCAGTTCAGATGCTTCCTCTTTATGAAGTCTTCTCCTCTGTATTCTGCTCGTTATTTTATTCCTCTTTTATGACCTTTATCACATGCTTCTTTGTCTCTGTGTCCTGTCCTCTACAAACCTATATATTTTTGAGGGCAGGGATAGTGACATTTATTTTTGTATACATAGACCCTCTTATACTTTGATCTGATCATGTTACTCTTCTGTCCAAAACTTTGCACAGACTTTCTATTGCCTACTAAGCAAAGCTTCTCTTGCTGACATTCAGGACCCTCCACAATCTGGTGTCACCCTTTTCTACTTTTATTTCATATTATCCTCCTCCATGCTTTCTATGTTCCAGCCAAAGTGAGTACTCTACACCTGCTGGAACATAGGCTGGTCTTACACATCTCTGAATTTTTTTTCTTTATGCCCAGAATGCCCTCCTCTTCTTTTTCACTTGTTGAGTTCCTGCCATCCTTCAAAGTTCAATTCAAATGCCACCTTCCTTATTCAGCCTTCATTGATTTATACTACCCCTGGTCAATTAACAGCCTTCCCCCTCAGACTCCATAATGTACTTCACTTTATAAGTTTCTTTTTAAAAAAAAATCTAATCCTCTATTTATTAGTACATTTTACTTTTATGCCACCTTAATTTCCAAATATATCTTTCCCCTAGGCAGTGAGCCATTCTTTGTAGCAAAGATTTTTTTTTTTAAAAGCAGGGGGGTGGGGGGAAGTTCAGCAAAATTGACACATCAACTATATCTGATAGTATATGTCATATTCCACATCTATAATCCCCCTTCTCTGCAAAGCAGAGAAGGAGCTGCACTTTCTCAGCTGTTCTCCAGTGTTAGGCATGGTCATTATAATTACATAGCATTCAATCTTACTTGATCTTTTGTCCTTTCCTTTACATTATTGCAGTCATTGTGTATATTGTTTTCCTAGTTCTGCTTATTTTATTCCTAATCAGTTCACATGAATATTCCTATGTTTTTCTGAATTCTTCATATTCATGATTTCTTACAGTATGGAAATATTCCATTACTTTCATGTACCAATATTTGTTTAGTCACTCTCTAATTGATGGGCATCTACTTTGCTTCCATTTCTTTGCTACTACAAAGATAAATGCTGCTCTGAATATTTTGGTGTATGTGAGATCTTGCTTTGTGCTTTATTTCTTTAATTATTTTTGGTTTTGTTTTTTTATCTCTATGGGATATAAATCTAGTACTGAGATCCTTGGATTAAAAATGATGAACATTTTGATCATTTTTTTTGTTTAGCATAATTCCAAATTGTTTGACAATCGGTTGAACCAATTCACAGATCCACCAACATTGTATTAGCTGGCCTATCTTCCCATAGCCCCTTCCATACTGACCATTTCTATCTTTGGGATTTGCTGAGTGTGAGGTGAAATCGTGGCGCTGTTTTGATATGCATTTCTCTTATTATTAGTTATTTGTAGTTCATATAGTTAACAGCCTGGATCTTTCTCAAGTTTTATCTTTGACCAGCTTTACAACTTACTTTCTTTCTTTCTTTCTTTCTTTCTTTCTTTCTTTCTTTCTTTCTTTCTTTCTTTCTTTCTCTTCTTTCTTTCTCTCTTTCTTTCTTTCTTTCTTTCTTGGCAATGGGGGTTAAGTGACTTGTCCAGGGTCACACAGCTAGTAAGTGTCAAGTGTTTGGTCTGAGGCCGTATTTGAACTCAGGTCCTCCTGACTCCAGGGCCGGTGCTCTATCCACTGCGCCACCTAGCTGCCCCTTTACAACTTTCTAATGCACTTACCATGTAATATAGTTATCCATGGTCGTCTGAGTTGTGGCCTCATTCCCCTCCTAGACAGCAAGCTCCCTGAGGTGAAGGAATGTGTCTTTTTCGAACCTTTCCATTTCCCTCGGAGCCTAGCACAGTGCTCTACATATAGGCGATGTACACAGCTGATAAGTGTTTCTTCTATAGCTACATTATATTTCCCATAGCATTTAACACAGGGCCCTGAAGCAGTAGGTGCTTAAAAGATGTTTGTTTAGATGGATTAATGAATGGAAGCGAGGAATAAAAAACCAGCTTCCTTCTTCCTTTTCTTCCTTTCTTTCTCCAGGATCCAGCAGAGGCCATGAGGTCCAGTTTATGATTTCTTGAACTGTGGATGCAAGGTTTTAATTAGGGACTCATTCATTTGCATAATTATTGGGTACCAACAATAGGCCTACCACTAGGATTAGTATTGTGGATGATACAAAAAAAAGATAAAATGAGAAAATGCCCATAAAGCATTTCACAAACCTTCAAGTGCTATATAAATGTCAGCTATTATTATTATTGTTATTAATGATCACATGATCCTTGCCCTCAGGGAGCTTACAATCTAAATGAAACCAGAGAGGGAATAATACCAGACAATGTGTTAAGCTGACTTTAACCAAGTGCTGAACTAAGGGATAAGCCCTAAATTCTATGGACAGTCAGGAAAGGTAAGGATTCGTTTCACTGGCTGGAACTGATGAGAAAGTTTCATGCTGCCAGACACTGAACAAGGTGGGGGGGGGAGTGGGATTGATAGAGAGGAAGTTGTAGGGAGGGTGATACAGGTGGGGGAAATAGTGTGAGCAATAGTATGGAGGTCTACTGGCCTGGGGCAGAGGATAGGGGTAATCAGAAATCAGGAGGGGATTAGAATGGGGTGTGCCTTTAGTATCAGCATAAAGAGATAATAGCAGGGTATTCATGTCCTCCCTCCTATCACCTTTTTCGGTCCTATATAAGTAGGGATGTGCTGCTCATTGTTTAACAACTGGCTTTCTGGAAAAAAAAAGTTTCCATAATACACTTTTAACTTTAATCTGCATTATTAACACTTTCTCCATCACTTTCTGAAGTCAGATAATTAACAAAACAATAAATCAAACTCTGATTTGTAGTGTCTGCTGATTTCCAACACATAGACGTTCATAATAAAAATTTAACAGTAGACTCCAGTGTACCCCTATATATAAGCCAGTAACGTTAGTGGCTCCCTATTAAAACCCTTCAAAATTTGGCTTTAACTTTTTTTTTTATCTTGCATTTATTTGTGTAAAGAGCCCCATGGGTAGTAAGGGTCCACATGTAGCTATCTTCCCATATGTAGGATGGGGGTGTTGTGTGGCTCTAAGGGAGGCAGAATAGATATCTCTAGCTTCTTTTCTCTCCACTCTTCTCTAAGGGAAACTTTAATTCCTGCCAGAAGGGGAAACAACAAATTGGGGCCAGAGGCCACTCTGCTCTCCTCAGTGTGAGGGTGTACCAGGTTAAAAGCATATCTATCTGCTCCTTTAAATATTGTTAGTCTAGGGTGTGATCAGGTTCAGTCTAAATTCTGATTTCAGTTTCTCATTATTGGAGGAAAAGGGACGCCAAGCTCTATAACCAAGGCTTGACCCCTTTCCTACCTAATACCAAATCCATGAAGAACATACAATGAATAGCAAAGAAACCCATTTATTCAAACCATAGCAAAACAGAAATCGTAGAAGATATACATAGGATAATATATACCAGAAACATGGAGGGAGGGAGCTCTCCCACTGGGGGTAAGAGAGAGAAAGAGAAAGACACAGAGAGAGAGAGAGAGAGAGAGAGAGAGAGAGAGAGAGAGAGAGAGAGAGAGAGAGAGAGAGAGAGAGAGAGAATCCTAGATCTCACCCAAGGGGAAACTCGCCAAAGTCTCTAGTGTAGCAAGTAAGTTGGGGATAGGGTCATAATGGAGACTGCCAGCTCCTCCAATGTCTTTCCAGAGTCTTTTCCTTCAGCAACCAGAAGTGAGTTGGGCTTTTCCACCTTGCCTCTTGAAGTTGGAAGCCAGAAGTGTGGGAAGTGACTGCAGGGCCCCAGGTAACTGGAAATTTGAAGAATCCTGCAGGAGTTGGAAGAAGGCTAGAGCTCTCATGCAGGGCAGGGCAGGGCAGGGCATTCACCACCAATGAGGAAGGAGCCCTATACCAATGGACTTTGGAACTAATGTCACACTTATCTTCTACATCACTGGTTCTTTTTTTAATTCTTTAATGTCACTGGTTCTTAGACTTTTTTTTTCTCATGATGCAATGTGCTTTGCTGTGAGGAATTATAGTATACTGAATATTTAAGTTGGCAGCACTACAATACTGGAGACTCACATGCGCAGTTTTCTTATTTAAGAGCAATTATTTTTGCTTGGGTTCTTTTTGAGTTCAAGATCTAAGATGTTTTGAGGTTAATGCATACATGTAAAATGCATATTTTGTTTATTTTGCAAATATTATGCCTCCCATACTCTGTATGCTAGGTAAGTGACATTTATATTACATGAAATTATTTATAAATTTTCTTTTATCTGTAGTAACATAATGTCCAAAATTTCCTGGCACACTTAGTGAAACTTGCCTTGGCTGACTTTTTGAGAGCCATTGATCTATATGTATCCCCTAGTAGA